CCGGAGAATCACCTCTGACCATTGACCAATCGTGTGAATAGCCTTGCTATCAGATAGAGTGCACTTGAACATGGATTAAGTCCGGCGTAGTTAGATTAAAATTTAACATCTTAATCATTTGTTCTTCCTTTTGACCTGTTTTCAATTTACTTTAGTTTTTGTTTTTAAACTTTCTTTTGGATTGAGGACTTTCTGTGCTTTGTTTTATAATTTTTGGGGTGTGGTGGCGGTTATATTTTTACATGAAATCCAGGATGTGTAAATCTATAGAGACTAGGTTAATAGTGTCTTGGCATTATGGCAAGAGAGGCTGGGGGGAAATGGGGACCTAGTGATGAGTAGGAGAATGAAGAAAAGGTTCTAAAATGGTGGTGACGATTGTACAACTCTTTCTAACATGTTGAAACCAGTGAAATGTATGGTATGGGAATTGTCATTAAAGCTGTACAATTTTTTCCCCTCCTGTTTTTATAAGCCACTCAGTTTGTGGTGACATTCCAAGAAAAATTAACACAGGAGGGAAGGCACTATGAATTGCATGGAAACGCATTTAGAGTTAGCTGAGCAAATCGGCATTCTTTACTGGGAAGAGCAGTCCTGGTCAGTGCTGCTGGACTTCAAGATGCTGACGGCCAGGAGCTCACCCTGGGCTCGCATTTTCTGAGTGACCTATTTATTTTGGGTGCTGGGGTTAAGGGCTCCACTGCCAACCAGAAAGGTTGTCCGCTAAAACCCACCGGCAGAGCCACAGGAAAAAGGACGTGGAAGGCTTCTCCTGCAAAGATTATGATAAAGATGACGGTGTAAGAAACCCTCTGGGAAGCTTGATTCTGTCCTGTAAGGCCAGGTTGCCATGAGCTGCCATCCACCGAGCTGCACAGAGCAAAGAGCATATTGGAATTTTAAGAGGTGCCCTCGGGTTTCCCTTCTGCTGCAGCAGGGGGCAGCGTTGTACCAGTCAGCGAGCCACCAAGTCGGTTCCCACTCCTGGAGGCCCTGTGCAGCCCTGAGGCACTGCCTGAATCGTTCTGGCCACCGTTGCTGTGTGAACCCATGGTTGCTGTCACCGTCTCAATCCATTTCATTGAGGGTCCTCTTTGTTCTGGGGGCCCTCTGCTTTACCAACAATGCGCACGCCCTTCTCCAAAGACCGGCCCGCTCCTCCCTTCGAAGGCACGTTCCGCTGGCCAGATGCGCTTGCTCTCTCGGTCCTCTCCACCAGCGCACCCGGTTCTCCTCTGGTCTCCCTCAGTCATTGCTCCGTTTTCACATGACAGAGGGGGGAATTGGAAAGACTGGCTTGGGTCAGGCCTACCTCCGTCCTCAAAGTGACCCCTTTAGCTAGGGCTCGAGTGGAAGATTTGCCCAGTGCCCTACACCGTCGTTTGATTTCTTGGGCAGTGGTTCTGGACCTAATCTTTTGACAATGCCAGTCTTTTCTCTGTTGATCACGAGGGAGTCAATGGGTCTGCGGTGAGGATTGTTGTTCCGTATGTTGAGGTGTAATCCAGGCCGCAGTCTGCCGTGTGTGCTCTCCATCAGGGAGCCCTCTTCACTTTCCGCGGAAAGGCTGTGGCATCTGCATATCACAAGGTATGGATGCTGTCCTCTAATCTTGATGTAGTGTCCTTCGTCATATGGTGCAGTCTCTCAGATACAGAGATTAAATAAATACGTGAAAGGATACAACACTGACACACCCCTTCCCTGATTTTAAACACGCAGTAGGCCCTCGTTCTGTTCCACAACTACCTCTTGGTCCATGCACAGCTTCCACATGAGCACAATGAAGTGTTCTGGAATTCCCATTCTTTTTAAAAAAATCATTTTATTAGGGGCCCATACAACTCTTA